CCTCCTCTGCTTCACAGGCCTGTCTGAAGTGGGGCCCCGCATGGCTCTTATTTGCAAAGGAAAACTCTGGAGCCTCAGCTAGTGTTACTATGAAAGGGCTAAATCCAGAGGTTAAGCTGCAACATATTAATAGGCTCCCTGTTTCTATACATTAATATTCTAATCCTGCATCTGAGCAACCTCAGAATCAAAAAACCAAAAAGGCAATTTCCTTCTCCTACATCAGTTGTTGGTTCTAATGAAAGGAGGAGGAGGCGGAGGAGGAATTTATACCCCGCCCTTCACTACCCAAAGGAGTCTCAGAGTGGCTTACAGTCTCCTTTCCCTCTCCCGCCCCACTACAGACACTCTGTGAGGTACGTGTGGCTGAGAGAGCTCTTGACAGAAATGGCTCTTTTTCAAGAACAGCTCTTATCAGAACTACGGCTTGCCCAAGGTCATCCAGCCAGGTGCAAGTGGAGGAGTGGGGGAATCAAACCCGGTTCTCCCAGATTAGAGTCCGCCCACTTAACTACACCAAACCAAGCTCCAAAATCTTTAAAAGAAGGGGGGGGGGGGGGGGCGGACCCCACAGCTGCCCCACGGTGTCCCTGATACCCCCCCCCCCTTCTATGGTTTCCTTCCAGGCTAGCATCTCATGCACATGCCAGGTGGGAGGGGCAAGTCAGTGGAATCTGTGAAATTTCCCGGAAGCTAGAACAGAATCAAACTGAGTGATGGATGTATCAAGAGGCACAATTATTTGAGAACACCTAATTTTGCTCCAAGTTTGGCAATCTGAGAGTTGGGAAACTTCCCAAAGTACATCATTTTTACCCGGGGTCAATAACAGCAGGGACTTCCAAAGAAACAGATTTCAGTAGCAAGTGATCAAATATCAACATGCTGTGTGTATCAAACCGGTACTATACAGTGGCTGAGTGAGTAAACTGGGAAGTCCTCGCTTCAAATTTTACCACATCTAGGAATCCAGCACCAGCCCTGAGTGGGGTAAGGAACAGCCACTGGATTCCTGGGGAGTGGGGGATTTTCCAGGCCACAATCTCTACAGTAGAAGGGAGCCCCGTCAGGTATAAGTCTATAAGCAATATTCGAACATCAGACACCCAAAAAGTGCGTGCTCAGAAACCTTTAATAGGTAAAGATAAAACTAAAGCTGTGAATACACCCCTCTGAATGTTTTGTTGAAAGCACCAGGGGTGGGGAAAGAAGTTCCTTTCAGGGAATGTCCTTTTTTGCATGGGGTTCCCAGACCGTCTCCCGTGAAAGCTGTTATCGAGCTGAGACGCAATTCAGTCCAATGACATCAGAGCCTCCTCTAGAACCATGACTACTCCTCTGTCCCTCTGCAGAATCAAGGATTTTTCAGGAATGATTTGGAGCCCCCCCCCCAGCAAACAAACGCCATGCCATGCCATGCCATGCCAGAGAAGACTGGGCTCTCTAATGCAGACTGACAGCCAGCCTTACACCAGCACTTCTGTCTCCTTGTGAGTCAGACACGGTTATGAAGACTATCCAGGAACAGCTTGGTGCGTCTGTGCCGGATCGGCAAGAAAACGTGTGCAAGTCTTTGTGAATGTACAGCCTTACCCTCCCACGAGAGAAGAGCATAATAATGCTGAAACTGGCATGCTGCTCTGTTCTGTTCCTTCTATGAACAACTGAAGCCCCTCTTTGCCAGAAGGAACCTCTCAGCACGGAGCAAATGTGCGAACAGGAAGAGACAAATCGTTCCACCACCGCCCAGCTTTGGGATGACAACAAAACGCCCCTTAGACAGTAGAAGGAGAAGATGAGTTGGTTTTCATACCCTGCTTTTCTCTACCCTAGGGAGTCTCAAAGCAGCTGACTATCACCTTCCCTTCTCCTCCCCACAACAGGCCCCTTATGAGGCAGGTAAGACTGAGAGAGAGAGAGGTGACTGGGCCAAGGTCACTCAGCACACATGAGGTGGCGGCAGAGTGGGGAGTTGAACCCGGCTCTTAAGCACCACACCACATCCTTCCCCACGTTCAGGAGGCCTCAGTGGAGCTCAGAGTCCCAGGGCCCACACCGGAGCCAGCTGCAGGCAGCAAGACCGGCTTGAGCTCTCCCACATCCTCTCCAGTCACAGAAACAATCCTGATGGGTGCCCATCCCACAGAGAGCCAAATATGGAGGGCATAGATGTATTCCTGTGAACCTGGAATAATCCCCAAGTTTGCAAAATAATATAAGAAGTCACCAAAAAACTCTACAGGGCACTGACTCCCCTCCACCACCACCCCACACACATACAATAACCTGCTCGCATGCAAACGTCCCATTTTTAAAGGCTGCACAACATGTACAAACCAACCCAGGGGGAGGAATGAGGGCAAAGTGTGACTGGGAAGGCAGGAAACCGGGCTGTGGCAGAGCAATAAGGGTGGACAGGAGGGGGCAAGGGAGGAGGAGGAGGAGGAGAGAGAAGTGGGCAGGTCCAGACAAAAAGCTCTATCCAAGCCCTTCACGTCTGTGTGAAGTCAGTCACACTGGGAACTTTGAAAAGCATCACCACCCACCACCACCCTGCCCAGTTAAGTAGTGCAGCCCATTCTGCCACCTCACTACCTTCACCTTCTCCTGCGACATTATGGCACCCTGGCGAGAGTGCAGGACCCGGACCCACAAGACCCCTGATCAGCTCTCATGAAACTGACTGGGTGATCCTGGGCCATTCGCCTACCGCCCCAGGGTTACTGTGGGGAGAAAACAGAGGACGGAAGAAAACTCCACATGCCACCCCCGTTCCTTCAAGTGCGGGGTAAACTGCACTGAACAAAAGTGCAAACTCTGCCATTATATAGTTGACCGTTTGGAGCCCAGTTACAAAATACAAATACAATACCTTTATTGGCATAAAATATCAAATACACATGCAGCATAGAGCCTCAAGATAGGCTGGAGGGGTATCACATTTCGAATTGCCTTAATATGAGCCTCTCCTCCTAGATACCTCATAAAAGAAATTTGCTACAGGTTCCAGAATTTCTATATTATGCGAAGACAATAAAGAACTAATTTTATGCTCATCAGATTGGCCCAAAAGGGGGTCCAACACAGGTTCAATATAAACAACACGGATGTCACAGTGGAATTTACAGTACAATAGCACATGTCCAATGGATTCGATTTCCCCCATCCCACAGGGGCACAATCTATCTTTATAGGGAATTTTGTTGAACCTTCCCGATAGAACAGCTGAGGGAAGGACGTCGAACCGTGCTAGCATGAAAGCCCTACGAAGATGGGGCTGAATCAGTCTTGCCAGGTATCCTGAGGAAATATGGCTAAAAGAAAGTCCCATACTCACGGGAGAGCAATGTCTGTGCGCAAGTCTTCTCAGATCTTGCACCTCTATATCGAGGAGTCTTTGTTTGAGTAAGGCGAAAGCCTTCTGCTCAGACAAAAGTACCAAGTCATCAAAACTAAAGCCGATTATAGAATTTTTTTTCCTCTATATTAATCAACCAAGTCGATAGATGGGATTCAGTTAACATGTGCACCACAAGACTGTTTGGGCCAGATCTAAAATGAAGGCGCAGCCAAAATTTGAAGGTTATGGTCCATGCCATCGTAATTAACCGTCTTTGGGTTGTCTCCAGGCACATAGCTGCATATGGTACGCAAGCTGGTAGCCACACGATTTTCTTCAGGAACTTAGATTGAACACGTTCTACAGCTTCATTACAAGCCGAGACCCAAATTGGGATACCATAAAGCAGTTTGGCAGGTATTTTATGGTTAAATACTTTAAGAGCAGTGGGAATATATTGATGTCCTTTGGTGTAAAAGAAACGGGCAATAGCAAGGGCGTTGTTAGTTGATGACTTAACTGCTTCTTTAATATGTGTAGCCCAGCTGTTAGTATAATTGAAATAGATGCCCAGGTATCTATGGCTTTTGACTTGTTCAATTTTTTTCCCCTGTATAACCCACTTAATGGGCTTCCAACTTTTCTCGAACACAATGATTTTGGATTTATCGAAGTTCAGGGACAACTTGTTCTTATTGCAATAAGCAAGAGCTTGTGCAAGCATCCTTTTCATCCCCATTTCTGAGAGAGAGAGCAGGACAGCATCGTCCGCATACAAAAGTAACGGGACATGCCTCTCACCCAGTTTAGGGCAATGGCCATCAATACTCCTCATAAAGGGGTCTAAATCATTTAAGAAGAGGTGAAACAGGGTTGGCGCAAGAATGCAGCCCTGCTTAACTCCCACGTTAATGGGGATCTTGGCTGTTAGGTCCCCCTTCTTAGAATATCTAATCTGACAGGTGTTTCCAGAATGCAGATTTTTAATCAAGAACAGTAGTCGCTTGTCTATCCCCATGATGGAGCCCAGTTACTATGACTGGCTGTATCCCGAGGTTGGCCTAAAGTGGTGTGGGGGGGATCTCTGATGAAAGC